GTGTGTGTGTGTGTGTGTGTGTGTGTGTGTGTGTGTGGGGGGGGGGGGTAAAAAAAGAAGCTGAGCATTATGGGATATGTGGAAAAAAATACACATGTGCAAATGGCAAAAGCGTCATTTCCTATCCCATAAACTGAAAATCTCCAGTGCCAGTGGCCAGATAATACACTTAAAATACATTTTAAAAGGAATTAATCTGAGGTAAAGTAGTAAGGAATATGCAATATTAAATATGCAATATTAAATATGCAATATTAAAGAAACAGGGTGCCCATTTTCAGAGGTGAATGCTTTATTATTTAGTGAACGTCTAGCAGTTTTCTACATTAATATCAACCACATGAATCGATATACATGGCCAGCCGCAGATGGAGAAGACAGGGATGGTGCATGAAGCCTCATCGTGTTTTACACTTTCACGACAATGGAGAAGTTTTGTGTCAACGTCGTTTTTCTTAAAAAAGGATGTAGATTCAGTCTCTAGAAATTATCAAAGTAGCCCTGGAGCACATTCAGGCAGACTGACGTGTGGTTCGGCCCACAGACACGGCATTATATAACAGTATGTACATAACGGTCAGTTTGTCCATCAGCATGAGCCATTTTGAAAGAAAAAAAAACCTCAATCTGTCATTTATTATTGTGCAGGGGATATCATAAACAGAATTAAGTTCAATTTAAAGTATTAATCATAAATGTTCCCAAAATGTACTTATAAGACAGGAATGCATAGACTATGACTGTCCATAACTTGGAAGCACACGACAGCGTGAGCTTGTGCATTTTACAACAGGTATGGAAGCTGAAAATGCAGTTATTCAATAATCCTTGTCTTCCTGGTAAAACATTTGAACACAAACCTCTGATTTAGAGTGTCTATCTGCTTTTAAAGCATGCTAGCATAATGCTCCCGGGACAGAAATCACACCACGATAGACAGAACAATCAACAGGACTCTACCTCCCTATCAAATCCAAGCCACACTCCCATCTAACACTGTAAGCTTCTCTGCTATGTACTTCAACCTACATTATTACATCTCATGCCCTGATTGGCCAAATACGGGTTACAGAAGCATCACTGGGCCTTACCAAGCATCCTACCCCTGCCAAGGACATTCAAGGTGGATCGTCTCCCACTCGCGCGGCTCTTTATGCAATATGTGAACACCGTCACCCTCTGACCTGCCCCTTCGTGCTAATTAGCAAACCATGACCATGTGCTTTGATCCCTGCTCCTTGAAGGTTGGTCTGCTGTAATCAACAGTCGCGATGGTAATAATCAATCCGCCCTCTTAGTGACTTTTCACACCCTAGAGGCACCAAACACAATGGACACAAGTCTGGTGTGGAAGTACCCAGCCTTAAAGGGCAGGCAAAACATTTTTTGTCTGCTCAAAATAAAATCAATCAGATATAGGAGCCACAAATCAAATGGGTTTTATTATGGCAGTTGAAACTTCCCAAGAACTGAAGATAAATTATTTCTCTCTATATTTGTTTTTAAGTACAAGGGGCTGCAGCTTTATGTTCTGCTTTTCCCTTTAATTGAAAAAAAAAATCACTTGCCTTCATTATCTGCTTCTTTTTGGAGGTCTGGGGGCTCAGTAATATGCTATACACGTTTTAAGCAGGCAATTTAACTCAATTATTGGTTTGCTCTCAAAACTGTGTGGATGGTGTAATATTTACATCCAGACTTAGTGCAATATTACCTGGTCAGCTGTCATAAATCTGCATTTATAGCTCGCCCACCCACACCAGTGTGTTGCTTTTGAGGACGTCGGTTATCTCACAGTTGAGCTTGTTCAGTCTTCCATCCAGGATGAAGAGCGATTCCCTTGAGGGTGTTACCAGGTACCGTCCAAAGAGGCCGCTGTCCACGATGACGCGGGTTTGCCGACTCCAGGGCCACTCCGTCGTCTTCATGGGCTCCTTCACGCCTTTGATCATCTTCACTTTGCCGGTGTTGAGCTCTACGTAGAGGACGTCGGTCTGGAGGCCCGAGCTAGCGAACATGTTGTACTGGTGCACCTCCGTGAAGGACGTCTGGAATGCCACGTGCGAGATACGCAGGTTGGTGTGGATGTCGAAGGGCTCCTGGATCTCGCCCCGCGCAGTGACAGGCTGGATCCTCATGAGGCCGTCCATGTCGTCCACGCTGACGAGGTAACGGCCATCCGGCGACATGTAGGGGGTGCCGGTGACGCCGCCATTATATCCGACGACGGAGTCCGTCAAACCATCCACGATCAGCTGTGCCGAGCCCGAACCGGATGCATCCGGCTTGCACTTGACAAAGTAGTACCCCCCCAGATGGGTGTAGGCCAGGGAAGTCGGCACACAGTTGAACTCCACCAGGCTGATGGTCTTCACGTAGGACGCCGTCTCAAGGTCGATTTTGTGAAGCGCGGCTTCATCCTTGTGCAGAATGATCCCAAACCTAACAAAAAAGTGGCCGGTTAAAAATGTATCACTTCTATTCCTGTTTCATCAAAACGGACACGTTTCCACTGATAAAGAAGTTATTAAATCGTAGCCTGGGAGGACAAAAGCTACATCTGTTAATACATCTAAGAGCTCAGACCTTTTATTCTTCAAAGCTTGTCTTTGATTTGGTACAACATATTTTATTAAAAACAAAACAAAATGCAATGGAATTTGGCGGCCCAGCAGAAGAAGCACAAGCATGCAGGCTTCCTGGTCGGGGTTAAGAAGAGAAGCGGGTTGGAAAAAACATGAAATAGACCCCAAGCATACATGTGGGGAAAGTGTGTTTAATAGAGCAGCACTACAGGGAGATGACAAGAGGCGCAGTAATGAGGGGGATCGAAGGAAAGGAGACGGCCGCTGACAGCAAGGAGAGGAAGTCAACGGCGATCTGACCTCATCACAGAGCCTCAGTCAGACCTCGGGCGGGGGGGGAGATGTACGGTTATTGTGCCGACTAGAGAGGTATTTTTGCTAAAGGTGAAGGTGGGGGCCAGTTTGCTTTAAAATACTACAGGTGAGTTACATGAGGTTAAACAGCAAGGAGGGGGCAGCTTAATGTACGGTGGGGGCTATACACCCCCTCAAAGCTGGGAATCGGCGACTCCCCATCGCTCAACGTGTCCGGGGGCCATTCACAATGGGGGCTTTTTCTGGACCGTCTTCATCTTTGATTAATATCTGCCTTTCTTGGGAAATGCAGAAATCATACAAGCGGCTGCAGCCAGTTAATTGAAATCCCACAGTAACGCAGCCGTTCCAGAAACTAATTTGTTTGTGCTATTTTGTGACTGTTACGTGGTGTCAGATACAGGTCGCTGTTTTATTATCATTCGATTAAAATGATTGTTTCTGCATTCATCACTATGAAATACAGAAACGAAGGGGAATATAAACGATGATATTTGTCGGTGATTCCATTTAATTCAAATAAGATTAAATAAAAATGTATCACGTTATCACTGTGTAATCCATACTCGTACAAAAACTCCCAGGAAGGATGTACATTAAATTACGTAGTACATACATAAACTAAATACTACGCTAAAGGCTAAAGAGCACGATGGCTCGGCGTTTAAGAAGCTGCAGCTTGCTAGTGTGTCTGAATAGTCTGTTTTATCTGCGGTTTCACAGGGACGGGATTACAGCCTGGCCTATCCAGGCCCCCGCCATCCTGAGTAGGACCTCGGCCCAGCGGCGTCCCCAAAGGCTCATGTGGCGGGCAGCCACGTGCATGATGAATCGAAAGCCTCCCTGCATTCCCACTCCGGAATACTAATGCAGGCCGGGAGGCAGGTCCGCTGGCTTCGGGTCTGGGGGAGCGTCGACGGCGTCTGGGAAATGGGCGCGGCGTGCGGCCGGGCCTGGCTGCGGGAGACGCAGGGCTCTGGAGGTAACGCTGGCTAACGATAACAGGGCTGGAGAGTATCGATCGATACCAGGGCTTGGAGCCCCCCCCCCCCCGGTCTAAAAAATGTTTTACAGCTGGATTTATGACTGAAACCATAAGCTACACTGAAGTGACGTGAAATAAATCAGAATTCATACACGTAATGTGATCAGCGACTCATATTAGACATACTGTATTACATGCATCGAGTGGATACATCAAGTGTAACGGTGTATCTGACATTGTGGATATATAAATGTTTTTACCAGCATGTTGTAAAAAAAATAAGAGGAAATGCTAAAAATTAACACATTTCAAGGAGCGATACCAGTACCCGCACTGCAGATGCCCCCTTGTGTTACAGACCTCAGGACGCTGAATCGTTCACGTTCATTGTGCTAGGAGCTGCTATGAATAAATGGCATCCGTCATGTGACTCCAGAGAAAAATCTATGCTATTATGAATGCCCTAAATGACTCATTGTAGAAGTTTTAAAAGAGAGATAAAAATTGAAAACAATTATTTTCTAGTGTGGACCACGTTTAAGCCGTAGCAGGAGGGGAGTGTGGCCAGCAGCTTGGCTTAGTAGTTTAGGGGGTGTTCAATTGTAAAGAAAATCTGCCTTGGGCAATAGAATTGGTTTGGCCAACAGAACCATGTGACATTGGTATTGGAAAGGAGATCGAAGTTTATTATGGTGGGAGTTTTGGGGCTGAGCAGGGGCAGCCGAGGGTGTCCCACTCCCGAACCCCCCCCCCCCCCGTCACTCACTGATTCAAAGCACATCATTGACTGATAAGATTGGCCTCCCTGTAGGAATTACAGCCTCTGATGTCCCCCTTCAAAAAAATTATATGCAAAGAAATGTGAGACGTGGGAGAACTCCCCCAAGCATGGGGGTGGTGTCTGAAACTGGGGGGGGGGGGGCATGGTTATTGGGGACCACAACGAAATGCAATGCATCAATGAACACATATTGAATGGACAGGTGGGTCCAATCAACATGCAAAACACCAGTCATGTGACCTCTCTTGATAACCAACTGGCCTTGCTAAATATGCAAACTATCTTTCAAAAACACCTCAAAGGTGTGTAACGGGCACCCGCTTAAAGCGGAACACGGCGGAGTGCAAAAGTCTAGGCCTTCCGGAACTTTCCATCAGGAAAGATGACAGCGGCCAGGTATGCAGCGAGCCAGAAAAATGAGTCGGTCCACACGGCTCTCAGGAAACATCTTGCATGTCAACGGCTTGAGTCTATCTGGGGCCTGACAGAGTGCAGCGCCAAATCAATCCGTCCTGCATATGTTTAGCTTCCAGGCCGATAGAGAGGTTCAGCGGGAGCGCCCCCGCACCCCCGCACCCAGCCCTCTCCACCTCCCCCGACACCATCCTCACACCCATCCAGGCACTGCGGACCTCAAACGCAGGTCTGAACGACTCGCTTACCTGACGTGATTAATGACGAGAGTTGTGGCAGGAATGAAGAAGTCGTCTACCCTGTCGAAACGCCGGCCGAGGGGCTGGGTGTGGATGGTGTGGTGTGACACGCTCCCACTGGCCTGAGTGATCACCTACACACCAGCAACAGACAACACATTCGGACCATAAATAATTCCCAGTGACACCCAGCTCTGCTTTATTTGGGTGGATTCTCGAGCACGTTCTGGTCTTTGTGAGTCTATAGGTCTGTATCCACTGCAGATATCTTCTCCCTGCCTCAAGCAAAGAGAGAGCAGGTCCCAGCTGACAAACTCTGGGAAAGCGCCCTACTGACAACAGTGGATCTCCAAAAGTCTGAGAGCCTGAAAACAAACTGAATGGTCTATGAGACTTACAGCTACATGCTGCATTAAAGTATAATTAACTGTTTTAAAAAAGATGCTTCTACACATTACTGAATTCTAGACAACACAGCACACATAGATCTTCTGGAACTTCAGCAGGAGAAACACTGATAATGTATCTCTGGGGCTGTGGAGTAGGAGTAAGGAAGTAAGACAAGTTTACTTAGAAAGTGGACTTTACACAGACAGACGTCACATAGCTGAGCAGTAAAACGAGAGGATGGGAGCTGCTTTCACACGTGTTTCCTGGATTCCCTTTGATGATCCTCCTGTGTTCCCTTACATTTCCCTTAGTGTGTAGTTATGCATGTGCCCTATGATAGACTGGCATCCCCTGGCATCTAGAGTGTACTCCAGCCCCGTGCCCTGCGATGGGCTGGCATCCCGTCCAGGGTGTACCCCGGCACCGTGCCCTGTGACGGCATCTGGCTGTTGGGTGTGGCGTCTTTACCTGCAGAGTTGGGCTGGACTTCTCCATGTCTCCCCAGCTGTGGACCCACACCTGGTCGTGGGATTTGTCGTAGTGCAGCTTCACGGGCACCGGGTCAGTGCTCACGGCCTGCGGCAGAGAAACAAGCTCAGCCTATACGATAACATGAATCGCATATATCGCGCCTCCAGGGCATCCCCGCCAGGGAATCCCCGCCAGGGAATCCCCGCCTGCCAGTATGATGACATTAATTAATCACTGCCACTCAGTACCATGCCATCCAACTTCTATGTCATTGTATGTATATTGTATATATTGCACATACATTATTGTTGACTATTCATTTATTCGTTACCTATTGTTCTTTCTCGTTAGATGTTCACATCTGCAGGGAGGAACGCAAATGAGTATCTGGTTCAACTTCTACAAATGACAATAAATCTTTTGAATCCTTTGAATCTCAAAAAACTGAAAATGCCAGATATACATTTTCATGTGCATGCTGACTGAGGTGAGCGAGGTCCCCGACAGCACCGGCCGCATCTCCATCGCCGTGGGGACAGTCCTGCCGCTGTGTTAAGTGCAAGGCAAACACTCTCCTTCCTCTTATCCTACTAGAAGAATCTCAGTGAAGGTCCCACCCTGCCTGTTATCCGCTCACCGCTATCACAGGCCTCTTTACGCTCTTATAAATCTCGGAAATTGGCCGTTGGCGGCGCTTGCTGGTTTTCCGCCCGTTCCCCTAATTCCTGGGCAACCCATGTGTCTGCAAGAAACATGGAACTACATCCCAAATCCACAGAGAGAATTAGGTTAAAAAAAAAAAGTGTGGTTTCTATGGCAACCAGCATTAACCGTGCAGATTCCACACAAACATTCCCTTTGTAGCACATTTCTTCATTAGTGCATTTTTTTGAGGTGATCTGTCCTTCGCTCTATTAAGGCTTCACAATGTCTCTAGTAAATATGACCATTGTTCTGCTGTCCTCTCGTAATTGTGTACATGTTGGTAACACTTTGTTCACAACATTTACTAATGTTACCGCATATTCTAAAACAGAACAATCCATGTGCACCCGAATAAACCCCCACTGACGAGAATGAATGAATGCTAGAGATTTTACATTTTACACCTTTCCAAACAAAAAAACGCTATTACATTTTCTACCAAATTACACACTTGTGCATTGAGAAGAGCTGTTTCTTATTTCCATTGCTAAATTGTTTCCATTTAATTGACTCCCTCGGCATTTTGACAATGAGACTGAACATTTCTCTGAAAGGAAGCCATAGAACACAGTATGTTCACACTCTAAAATGTTAAATTAATATTAGTTTTGAGAATCAAGGCAAATATCTGCAAATCAACCTGCTGGGGGAACAGATGTATGAAATATTTATTTATATTTGCCTGACTTATTTTCATAGATAAAATAAACATCATCTATCTCCTATGTAAATATAATGGCATTTGTATATCCGTCCAACCAAACACATCTTAATGTGAATAATTGATTATATTCCCAGGTGATAAAAACCATAAAGCCTTAGTACTACATCAATCATTTAGTCATTCTTTCAACATCCCTTAATACATTCTGCTCATTTTTAGAAATAATTCCCCTCTGCATATGATCAAATTTGGCTGCTTTGTCCCCTTGACCATCTCATCTTAGCAAAATATCGTGATATATGTTCCACAGGCATTTGGTTTCATTTAAGACCTTCAAAAGGCTACATCGGTGACGGTGACTCTGGGGCGTGAATGTCCGACCGTTTGGTCCTGGACCGTGAAGGCAGGGAAGGAGAGAAAAGGCATACAGAGTGAGATGCGTGCTTCGTTAGCGGGGGATCAGGTGCCTAATGAGGAGCAGCTAATCTGACGTAACAAAGCCAAACCTCCAGGTGACCTGCTAATGACTACTCCACCGTCGCCGGAGCAACAAGCCGTGGCAACCATCCCTTAGCGACCCCGGGGGGCGTCTCTGGCCCGGAACTAAAGATTTGCGCCTCAGCAGTGCTCCTTAAGGGTTTCCCCCCACCGAAGTAAACAAGCCATTTTCACCCGGACCCCCAGGGGGGTCCCCGTGCTCGGAGACAAACAAACACATGTGTTGTCTGACACCCGGACCCGACGACCGTATCACCCACAGACTCTGTCTTAGTATGACCTAAGTAGCCAGGCCAGAAGGAGCCAGAAAAAACCTGTAATGTTTGAAGTAAAACCTGTAATGGAATACATGAGCCTAAACAGTTGGATAGGATGGTGCCGGAAAAGATCCAAAAGCAGAAACAAAGAAAATCACAGGAAAACAGCACCAATGCTTAGATAAAAGGGCTGTCAACATGGCAAATGGGAACAAAAAAATTATTAATCCTTTCTCTTTACTAATGAAGAAAAATAGAAAACCGTTGACCTGCACAGCCTTCTGCGACTGGACATCTATGATCAACACCCTGTTCAGGGCCGGCTGGGAGACGTAGATGTACTTGTTCTTGACGTTGACGGCAGATGCCCACACACAACTCTGCGTCGCGTCACCATCAGATTTGGGGCAGACTTCCTCCTGGGGACACAAGCACACGAAGACAAACAGTAACGGATAAATATGGCGGTCTCCAGAGGACGACGAGAGAACCGGGGAATATGAGAGGAAGGAGAATAACTTAGTAGACGTTAAAAAAAATGCCCGACAGTTTGAAGAATGCCTGGTGTCACTCGGGAAAGGGCCCTTAAGCTGTATATTCCCCTGGCAGTAATTCACAGGAAGACAGGACACCCGCAGCTCTCTGCCAGACCAGCCATATGGAACCAATATGAGTCTGACACTCGGCCAAAGATACAGTCAGGGAGGTGATGAGATCTCGCCCAACTGATGTTAAAGGATGGTGCCAGCGAAGGGGCCAAGCCCTTTCAGCTACGCTTACATATCCATGATGAGACTGTAATCACCTCTGTGGGTGTGGAGTGTAAGGCAGCACCAATGGCTGACTAGTGCCAAACGACATAAATATACTATAATGTATTCATTGTATGCATTCATCCATCTTCCAAACACTTATCCTGGATGGACTCCAGGGACCTCTGCAATCCTATCGAAGGCAGCACTGGGCACGGGGCTGGGGTACACCCTGGACGGGATGCCGGTCCATCACAGGGCACGGGGATGGGGTACACCCTGGGTGGGATGCCAGTCCGTCACGGGGCACGGGGCTGGGGTACACCCTGGGCGGGATGCCAGTCCGTCACGGGGCACGGGGCTGGGGTACACCCTGGACGGGATGCCAGTCCATCATGGGACACGGGGCCTGCTTAGACCCGGACTGGATGCGGGTCCATCACAGGGCACATACACACACTACGGGCAACTACCTGCATGTCTTTGAATTATGGGAGGAGACTGGATGGCCTGGAAATACTGCAACAATCCAAATCTGATCTTGGGTTTTTCTTATTTTTCTTAGTGCAGAAAAATACTGCTTCATCATTTCAGTCAAGAGGCTCTCTTAGACTCCATCAAACCCTAATGTCGTGTTTAAATTGGACATGACTGTCAAGTTCAAGAAAATTTTAAGTTTGCATATATAGGTAGCATTTCCACCAGTATAGAAAAGTTGGCTTGATGAAGAGATGTTAAATGTCGTCCCTCCGCCGTCTTCTCCCTGATAGTGAGCCTTCACTTTGTATCTGTACAGATACACAAACCCGCTCCTCTCGAGGACTGAACGAACTTTCCCGCATCCCCAGTGGCTGCCAAGCAGGATGAGGTCACAGAGGACAGGACAGATGGGAGCATCAGTCATTTAAATATCCATGTAAATCTCCAGGGGCGGCTGATCATGCTTCCTCAATTATACATCACTTAGGAATAAAATGGTCACTAAATAAATGGGCAACACTTTACTTGACGGGGCGCAAATAATAATTCAGTTACCACTGAAGCACGAATTATGAAATACAGCAGCTACTTGTAATAAAAGATATCACAATTCATTAATGATGAATTAACATGAGTTCAGTATGTAACTAAGGCTTAATATGTAGTTAATTAATACATAAGTAATGGTATAATTCTATATTTGTGCCCCGTCAAGTAAAATGCTACCAATAAATATAGTTTGTTCACAGCCAGTTTTGTTCTGCACTTTAGCTCTCTGTGCCTGTGAGGTCGCCGGTTTAAATCCAATAATCAGCAGAATAGTCACATGTCCATTGGGCCCTTGAGCGAGGCCCTTAACCCCACAAAAAATGCTGTAGGGGGGCGGGGTGGGGGGCTGAGCCTGTGCTCAGACCTCAGGCTTCACTCCCGCCTCTTTATGTCTGTGTGTCTTAAAATGGAGTGTGAGTTGGGGTATGTGAAAATCAGCATTCCAATGTACCTGTACTTATAGCAAATAAAGCATCATCTCTCATAAAAACCTTCAGATGTCCCCTGGACTGTAATCCAGCTGCAGGGTCATGAAAGATGACGGCCCAGTGAAGGATCCTTAATGGCCACGTTACCGCACGCTTACCGTTGCTTCTGATGCCAGGAAGCATGTTAGCGATTAGCGTCAGGGTAGCTCAATGTGCAGTACATGTCCTGCGATGGACCGGCAGTCCATCCCGAGCATCCCCAACGAGACGATGGAGGAAAGATGCATGTGTGCACATTACAAGCGTGACGAACCGTACCTGGAGTCCGAGCAGCTTCTCGCTGGGCTGGATGTGTCTCTGGATCTCACACGCCACTGGCTGTATGACCTTAACGCCGTCCTCATAAAAAACGTAGAACATGTTCCCAATCCCGTAACCTGAGAGGGAATGTTAGCATAGTCAGGTAAACTGCAAATGCTGTGAAATGCGTGCAAGGCAAGTGCATGACTGTCAGGTAACAAGTGAGGAGGAACTTCATTACAATTTGCCTTGCAAATATACATATAACATAACTGCAAATAAAAACAGATGTTTTCTCTTTTATAATTACAACTCAGGTAATTTCCAGTTCATAGTCATTGTGTAAAACACAGCTGGGCCAGTTTTAAAACACCTCTTTTTTGACTGTTTTGTTTAATTGCATATTTTAAATGCATAATCCAAATGAATGCATAATTAGCTATTTGGTTGTTGCCTGCGTTTTATGCTTTTTGTATTTAATAATTGCATAATGCAGTCAGTGAGTGTTTAAACACGTGCTTTTTCCATGACAGTTTGACAAAGAAAAAGAGGCAAATCGGCACCATAAAATGCCTGAGTTTTCAACGGCAAAAGAATCGAAAACAAAAGTCAGGCCACTACTCTATGTTAATTTAGCAGTAATAAAGTAGAATGACTGAAAACTATTCATAATATACTGTACAATACTATATAAGTAATTCTACACAAATACAATACAAATGAATACAATAAAAACGAATATCAACTGTACCTTCTTCTCTCCATAAAATGTTTGCCACTGGGAATATTAAAAGTGACAAAAGAATATATATTATAAACAGCAACACAAAATAATCATAAGATAATTGCCAGGGCCATTATGAGATACATAGTTTTCAACTCAGCATGCATGTTTGTTGGGAAAAAATGCACTGAAAGTGAAAGACCACCTGTACAAAATGGAAAAACTGAGAAATGCATGTATACTGTTTTATGCGTTTGACTAGGGCTTTAAAAACTGCAGTGAAATCCAGTGAGGAACAGCAATGGCTGACGTCAGCCCCATAAACATAATTCAAAACGCAGCTTTCCAGGCAGAATGAACGTGACTCCTAGAGGACAACAAGTACGGTGCATTGGCCCAAGGGGAGGGACTTGCAATATTGCCCCCTGTGGGCCGCACGTGGAAGTGCAAGCGTTAAATCATAACATACCAGAATGAGCGTTATCATAATCACACACCGGGTTTCTAGCCTGAAAGGCAAAAAGTTTCTGATCCTTTCCAATTTCTCATGGAAATTCAACTTCCTCCAACTGCCATGTTCACCCACAAACCCTCTGATTCCATCGCCAGTATCTCCATTGCCAGTATCTCCATGTCCAGTATCTCCATCAACAGTCTCCCTGAAATCCTGGTCCGGGTGAAATATTGCAGATTCTGCTGGGATTTACCGCTTGTCCTTCTCCTTAGTTTTTTGTGTGTGAAGGGGAACCTGAGGATGAAGCTGCGGTTAAGTTCTCGCTTTAGTCCTCTTTGATCTTCACAAAACGCTAAGTCTGGTTTCCGAGGACCGTGAACGTATTAGAGGCCCAAGATGTCACATCAAACGCGACGATCTGCACAGAAGCCTTCTTTGGATTAAACAGATCTGAGCATTCGGCCTGGGAAATTATTCCCGGCAAGTGTAGCACATGTGGGGAAAACTGACTTCTGCTAACCCAGTTTCTTTGAGTAACAGACTGAATTGGTACAATTTATCACTGCATAGGAGGGCACTGGTGCAGGCAGTCTGATGAAGACTCATACATCATATTTTCCATCCAAAGCCACCACATTTTAGCAACTCATCCGTGTTGACCTTCGCCGGCCATTTAACGCAGATACTGTGGGGGAGGATTCTATATGAGGGTCTGCTTCTGCTTCACATCAAGATCTACCAACTCTACTGCTTTGCAGAGCCATTATGAGATAATAGCCGGGTTTACTGGGTCTGAAAAAACCATTATGGTGACTGCAACAAACAGACATGTAACTCACTGTCATTAACACTTGGTGATCAAACCAGCGCAGTATTTTATAACTCTTTGCTCCGTGGGAGGCTAACAGGTGCGTAATTATAAATATTACTGCAGATTGTTATGGTATTTTTTTTCTGTATTTCTGTATCCAGCATTATTTACCAAACACGAGATGCACATGACGACCGCTGCGGATTCAGCCGTGCTGATTCTCTCCATACTGGGCCACAGATCTGCACATTTTAACAGCTGGTGAGAATATGGTTTTATGACCATCAGACCAGGGGACTTGGACAGGCATGGGTACCCTGGCATTCAGGGGCCCAGCGCTTGACAGGAGACCTTGAATACATAAAATTACAGGTAAAATTGGGGACCCAAGGTGACATTCCATCAGGGGGCTCCGAATTTTGACGTATGCCCCCTTACAGCTGGGAGATTCTGTGGTGGCAGTGGGTGGAAAATTCCTGCCAAATGTCTGACACAGAGTGCAGGGGCGTCAGAAGCATTTTGAATGTGGGGGGGACACACTGGCATAAAACTAATATTTTATGTTAAATGT